GTGTCTCCTTTTCAGCTGTAGGATGGGTAGAAGTGACCTTGCCCACTTACTGCCCTTGCCGGAAATGTTCAAGACTTGGCTTGGCAGATAACTTAATCTAAGGCCCTACTTTCTTTGAATGGTTGGATCAGATCATCTCCAAAAATTCCTTCCAAACTAGACTTTTCTTTGATCCTGTGAGTGAGGCTTAGTTTCTTGAAAGCTTAATAAAGGGTTGTAAAAGTTCAACATACTATTTTTTTACCTGATTTAAACTATTCAAATGTATAAAAGCGATGGTAATGATTTAATTGCATATGATATAAATTCTACACAAAAGCAGCAAGAATGGAAGAAAAGGAAAAATTCTTCTCCTTCCTCTGGTTTGTCTTACACAGACAAAATATACAGTTCATGGAAAGATGAAAGTAGATTTAGGATGAGTAAGCGGTGAGATCCGTAGAAGTGAAATCATTTTATGCCAAGAAATTATTGCTGGTCTCCCAAGCAGGCAGTCTGGTTTGAAGTTTCACTCTTAAATATCAGAGGTTTATTCTGTGTTGGCGGAGAGGTACAAAAAGTAAAGTCTTGGTTTATCGTGAGTTCAGAATTGACTGTGGTGCTACGGGTTTTGCTCTGCAAGAACAACCGCTAGTGTTGTCACTCTCATGGCAAAGAGCGCTGCCTCCCGTGAGAAGACGACTGATACATCAGAACAACGTGCATGTTAATCGGCATGGCATCTCACAGCAGTTCTGGCCAAGCCGGATGATAGATACAGAGAAAGCTCTCATGTCTTTCTTCGGTTCTGCATGTGAGGAAGAACTTTACTGTGAGGGTGACAGAGCACTGGAACAGGCTGCCCAGAGAGGTTGTGGAGTCTCCTTCTCTGGAGATCTTCCAAACCCGCCTGGATGCCACCCTGTGCCACGTGCTCGGGGTGTCCCTGTTGGAGCAGCGGGGGTTGGACTAGATGTTGTCTAGAGGTCCCTTCCAAACTCAGCCATTCTGTGATTCTGTGATCTGCTGTGTTTGCCGTTTCTGGAGTGGAACAGTAGCAGCAAATGGAAAAGTTACTTTGAGGTTTGATGTGCATACGCAAGCACGAGCACAGCAACTTGTTAGCTCCTGCAAGTCCTATTCTGGGCCTCTTTCTTCCTCTTTCTGCTCTTCTCCCTTTGCTCTTTGCCTGCTTTTCGGAACCGAAAAGATTCTGTTTTTACAAGTACTATTTAAAGAGAAAAATTCAAGTTGCAACATGCCTGAAAGTTCAGGCCCTTTAAAGAAGATATGTTAAATTGCCAATTCTCTCTCTCTTTATTTTGTTTATTCCTATGGACTTTGCATTTTAACCTCACAGAGACGCATTTCAGCACAATGCCGTTCTAACACAGCATATGGTATGCCTGTACAGGATGTCTGTGACATAATGTGTCACGACATTGATTTTCCTCATTTTTATTCTGCTTGAACAAAAAACTTAGGTGGCAACTCTGTTGTGATAGAAGGATTAGCCCCAAAAGTTATCTTCCTTATGCGTTTCTAAATATTTTGTATTCTTCAGGACTGACCTGTGAAAACCCCAGGCAGAATATTAACTTAAGCAAGAGAAGAACTGTCACCATATATAACTTACTGTTGCTTTTTGTGCCTGCCCCTATTTTGGAGCAAAAGTGGTGCTGCTGCTGGCTATCATAAAAACAAGGGTCAGAGGTGCTAGAATAAATGTCCATCTACCAGTGAAGGATGAAAATTTCCTTCAGGATGTTTACACCCAAAACATCAGGACAGTTACTTATAAAAGTAACAGTCTTATAAACAGTATTTATAAAAGTAGTGGGATTTCCTCTCATTGGGGAGCAGTACTGAGTGGGTGCCAGGGAAAACACTTTTTTTATAGACCTTTGGATGGTGGTATTTCTGCACTCAACAAGCCCTGCAGCCAGGTGGGGAGCTCTCCAGTAGGCTCCCAGGCAGAGGAACTGTGTGATACTGGTGCAGGTTTTAACACCATAATTCTGTGGAGGTGCCCATGGCTTTTCGTGCTGCACGTGACGTGTGCCTTGCTCTCGGGGAGCGCCGACACGGCACCTCTCTGGTCTGAAGGAGTTTCCAGCGCTGCGGAATTAGCACCGGTGGGAACCAAAGGCAGGAGCGGTACGTGGCTGGCGGTGCTGCCGAGCTGCTCTGGAGCTTGAGGGACCCCTGTCCAGCTAAGGGGTGGAATGGGGTCTGGTAGAGGTAGGGAAATGCTGTTTCTGGCAGGGAAATGCCAAGCAAGGACTCAGCCCCCGAGTAGCATTTCTAGTGGGAATGTGGCAAGCTAGCAGATGAGAGGCAGTGGGAAAGTGGAGAAGAAAGGGGCACCTCATCTCCCACATAATCACTTGCTAACTAAAGATTTAGAAAACACAAAAGCTTTTGAATGGTGTTACATACTCCCCCGCTGCAAAGGATGAACAAGCTTAGCATCTGTGTTTCAAAATGTCTGTGGGATGTGTTAAAGCAAGAGTTCATCTTGACCGATCCTTTAATGTTTTTGTGTGTGTGTTGCTGCTTTAAAGGTATGATTTTCATTAACCATACACCTATGTAGATGTAAAAGCTCTGCTTTGAAATAATACTGTGATTGCTTCTAATGTCCAGCAGATGTACCTTTTATTGAAAATTTCTGCACACAAGGTGCCAAAAGAGCCGTCTTGGAGCTGCCTCTGCTCTCAGTTTCCAGCTTGTGTGCGCCTGTCACAGGACCCATCTATCAGTGGAGTTGACTGCGCCCAACTTCAGGAGAAAGGCTAAAACCCCTTATTTTCACTTGCTGATAGTATATAGACTTCAGGTTTGGTGCAGGGGCTTTTCAAGGGACCCCTAAACTTTCCAGGGAGGAGCTTAAGAAACCAGCCAGAGGATGCTTTTCGGCAAGCTCCCTATCCAAATGTTCCCCCTAGCTGAAGGAAACAAGAAACCAAGCTTCATAAAAGAGTCAGAGGACTGGCTAGTAACTCAAAATTAATATTTTTCGTATGGCAACGCAGAAGGTGCCTGTCTGTTGTACACTGTGCTGTGTCTTTGCTAAGCCTTAGTCTGTTAAGGTTTTGCTACCAGCAAAGATGAGGTGCCTTCACAAAAAATGCCAAGTGGTGCCAGAGGTACAAAGTGTGTCTACGATCACCCATCCTCCAGTCTTCACGGTACAATATTTTACATACATTTTTAATTTAAATGTTAAACACTACTCTGGCACTTATTCAGGAGTTTCTGTCCTGGTTTACTTTTAATTAATAGCTCCATTTGAAGTCAGGAAGGCTTGTCTCACACGCTGCAGCTTAAGCTCATGCTTAGCTTGAGCGACTGCTGAGCGAAGCTACCTGCTTGGCCGGGCTGCCGTGCTCAGGATGGCGGCTCTTCCCTTGGGATGAATCTGCACTTTGAGGAGTCAGCAGTTTCCAGCCTCACATGTGCCAAGGCTTTATTGAAAAGTTGGGGCAGTGAAAAGGCCTGGTCTCACCTGCTCGGCGTTCAAGTCCTTACCTGGGCTATGCCGGGGGATGCCAGGCCCCGCTGGGTGTCTCCAGGTGACCTTGTTCCGGCCGTCAGGACGCGCTTGTGACATGGAGTTGTTGCTGGGCAGTCACATTAATCAACGGCTAGCATTAATTTGCTCTTTGGAAATGAAGAGATCAATATGGTGATCCAGTCAGGAATCCCTTTATTCATAAAAACAGCCTAACCCCCCTCCCCACCAAAACCTACATAATTAAGGCCAAATCCAAATTTTGTTTGGGTGAAAGGCACAATCTGTCTGCTCCCTAAGCCACTCTGAATGAAGGGCTCTTCGAATGGTACCGGCAGCAGCTGTCGTGCTGTTGCTCTAATAACCATGAGACAAAATGATTAAATTCCCATCAATCATTTAGCATTATCAGAATAGGTCATTTTAATGAAATGTTATCACCGGATCAGTGTCTGGTACCTCAAGGAGAGGCCTTGGAATATCCTCGACTGTACTGGAGGAGAGTGGTTTCGTGGTGTCCTTTCTAACGAGTTGGGTGATTTCCCCTGGAGGAACATAGGACCTGCTGGCCCAGCAGTCCCTCTCCATCTGCCCTTTTCTTCAGAAGGTGCCTGATAGCAGGTTCCTTAGAGAGCGGAGACATTCCTGTGATTAACATGAATTTCTTTTTGGTGTCAGCAAGTGCGTTATTTTCATGGGCTGTGTAAAACCATCAGTCTTTTATCGCAGGAAAAATCTTCGAAAGCTTCCAAGTGGAGTGAGGGACAAAGCCCTTGTTCGAAAAGCCTTGTCAGGGCCAGGTCTTTAAGAGAAGTTAGGTGCCAAGCAGTGCAGGTGGCTGGCAAGTGGGATTTCTGAAGGTATAGAAGGTTTGCATGGGAATGTCTAAAAGTACATACTTTTCAAAACCCTGCTAGGCACTTAGCTATATGTTTAATTCAGTAAGTACTTCTAAACTACATTTTTCATCCAAGTTGACCCTGCCTGTTGATGGTGTGTTACACTGTGCAGAAAAAAAGTGAACCAAAGTTTGTGGCTTCCTGCTGCATCTCCTGAGCAGCCTCCCTCCTTCCGCTGTCATTCAAGCACAGCCCTCAATATCAGCCTCTGACAGAACAGGTGTCCAGCCTTTTCGTGATGTTGAGAAAGGGCAATCGTGAAGAAAAGGAGAAAATCTGAAGGATCCGACGTACTGCGTTTGTGTAAATGAGACTTGGCCATTGCTTTTCCTTTAAGAGGGAGGTTTTTTGCTTTATTGCTTGGTAGCAGCAAAGGTAGTAAAGAAGTGCACACAAACCTTGGCAAGAGAGAAGTGTTTTCACAAGGGACCGGTATATGACTTGCTCAAGGGTTCAAAGCTTTTGGGTACAAACAAATGATATTCGCTTGTCAATTTGAACAGTGGTTGGGTTTCCTTCCTGGCTGTTGGGGTTGCTTTTCTTTTTTTTTCATTTTATTTTTCCCAGCAATCTCACCATCATTTCTTCTCTTTCTTCCTCCTCTGCAGGCCCTCAAACTGACACGAGACATAGAGAGCGAGCGAACCCTTTGCCAAATCTGCTGTCAGCAAGTGGACAGTGATACTGTTTACAGCATACGACCTTTGTGAACCCTGCATTATTTTCCTAATGAAGCAGACTGTTAATAAGCCCCATCCTGAGTGAAGATCCTCTTTTTTTTTTCTTTACTTTTTTCCTCTTTTTTTTTTTTTGGGAATTGAACTCATTCTGAAGTATGCAAAAATATTCCTTTCCCGGGATGGCCAAACACCTGCTGTGGAGACAATGTTCAGCACCATCCTGTTGAGAACACACTGTGTAGCCTTTGCAGTAGTTATTTGTCAATGAGTATGTGGTGTTTCAATATATTAATGGTTTATGGGATGTTTTAAGTTGGCTTTTCATTTTTGGAGGTGTTCCCTGTCTGCCCACCCTCTCCCCCTTGCCCTGACCTCCAGTTTGATTTCCTTAGATTTTTTGACCTTTTTTGCTTTCTCTCCCTGGGGAATCTGAAAACACAGCGTACATGCAAGGAAACCTTATCCTGATTATCATAACCCTACCTGGCTCTGTCCTGAGTTTTTCTGACTATACAGCATTCATTTTACCAATCAACTGACCGGCTTCCAGAGAGAGGTGACTTGTGTGCTCTGTTAGTTGGGTTTGTTTGTTCGTTTGTGTGTTTACTCTTTTCTTAAACGCGGTGGTACGTCCCATGAGCATCAAGCCAGGGCTGAGTACCAGACGCCTGTGCTCGTGAGGAGCGGCGGAGCGAGGAGGCCGTTTCCGCGACGTTTAGGGACGCGGGAGCCGCTTCGCTGCCGGACGGAGCGGTGCCGCTTCCCGCGTTGCGTTGCTGAAGCTGCCCTTGCTGCCGCTGCGGGCTGCCTCCTCGTCCGGGAAGAGGATGTAGGCTGAACTGCCCCTCCGCTGCCCGACAAGTTGAACGTAACCACCCGTAAAGATCTGTCTAAAAACGGGAGGATGAAGGAAAGGAAAACGCGCCACTAGGCAGAGAACATCATCACGGGCTGGGCATCAGCAAGTAGCACAAGAGCGGCGATGTCGAGGGTTGAGGCACAGATTGTTGCAGGGTGTGTTATTGCATCAGTGATTTTTTTTTTTTTGGACATATCCTTGGTTCCTTTTTCCTTCTCATCATGCATAATCCATTGTGGAAGAAGCAGGAGAGGGAGTGGCAAGATGACAGTATCGTACAAATGGCTTTTCATATGAGCATAGATTGTAACAGGATAAATGACACTGAAAGATGAGGCAGTTTTATATATTTTGCTTCTAAGATTTTCTTTTGTAAAATGAATAATAATGAATTAATAGTAATGAATAAAAGGTATGGTGCTGTATAGAGCCTCTCTATAATCTGGAAAGTTTGATTACTTTTTATTAGTATTTTTTTGGGGGGGAGGGATATGAAAAAGAGGGGAAAACTCCAATGGTACAAATGAACTTGGTATGAAGAAGTTCTGAATAGGACAGTGTATACATAATTCTCCAAAGCGATATATGAAGTTTTTTTTTTGTTTGCATAAGAGCATTATGCATATAAATATATAAATATATTTTATTATGTACAGAAATGGCTCATTATGCATGGATGTTAGGAAAACAAACTAGCATTTTAACCCAAAGTTTCAGTGCATGAGTTCCCACCGATACGTGTTTCCATGCAGTGTGGAGTGACTCCCTCCCGCCACGGCCACCACGCGTGCGCATGCGCGCGCTCACGCACACGGACGCCACACAAGCATTTGTGGGCCCTACCCAGCTCCTTACTCGCCAGGTCCCTGAGGTGATATTGGTGAAATAACAGCTCCTCGTGTGCTGGAAGTTTTGTTTTGTGTTGTGACCTTCCCCATGCTCCCGCTGCTCCCCGGCGACGATGCACCTCTCGGTTGCACCACGCAGTTATGGCTGTGCAAGCTCGTAGCCCTGTAGCCTACCGACCCTCCCGAGCAGCTAAGGGTTTAGCATTTTGATTTCAAAAAAACTTCTCTCTTCCTTTTTACACCCAGGTGGTCTGTTGGTCACCGTGGGGACTCTAGTTTATTATATGTTTATCTGAGGCCAATCATGTCTGGGGAGATACGTGTGGTGACCAGCTGCCCTGGACACCTGGGCCGCATGGCAGTCACCCATGGCTGTCAGGCTCCTGGTACGTCTTGAGACATGAATTGTGTTGATGGCCTTTCCCCTGCCAGCTCGTGCCCCATGTTTCGGCCTGCCTCGCTCCACCGGGACCGGACGCCGCCCTCGGGCCACCGCTGCGGAGCTGGGGGCCACCTGGCCAGAGACCACCACCAAGACCTCTCTAAAATCTGGCTGCAGCCTGGCCTGGTGGTGTGACAAAAATCCATCATGTTATTTTTGCTCTCGGTAGGAAGCAGGCCTTGTAGCATGTGGGGTGGTCAGTGTAAACGTAGCGGTGCGGTTCCCACTCCATCAGTGAGCCATACCCCCACCGAAGCCGTGGAGTTACCTCACACTGGCATCAATGAGAGGGAAAAATATGGTCTATTCTGCTCAGAAAACATAATGAAAAAAAGATTTGGAGACAACCAGTCAACGGCAGAGAGTTTAAAAATAAATAAATAAAAGCATTAGCAGTTGTGAGGCCTAATCTACTTCCCAGTACTCTCAAGGGAAGCAGGACGAGCTGCTCTGGCTCCTTGCTTTTCCAGGGAAGGACAGGTGCCTGCTGCCGGATGCCCGCCGGAACATCACTGCCCTAAATGGGCACTTAGGTGTCTAAAAATTGCTTTCATCTTCAGAGGCACTGGGTAAATACATCTCCCTGTATTCAAGGGGCCACTTTTTTTTTTTTTCCGTGTCAATGTATAGATGGAAATGGCTGATTTTGGGAATCTACCTTTTGAAAAATTTGGCCTTTGAGTCTTTGAACAACTTTATGCATAGAAATTTTCCTTCTAAAGTCATGAAAAACAGATACTGGTCCAGAACAATTACACAGGTACTGCTTAAACCCTTTGTCTAAACAAAGTTCTGAAAAAGAATTGAAGTGACATGTATGCAGTTCTGCAGTCACGGGTTGGGGGCTTTATTTAATAATTTTGTGATTTTTTTTTTCTCTTGGTAATAACTAGATAGTTATTAGGCCACTGCCTAATTCCAGAAATATTTGTGCCAGTGCTCCAAAAAGCTATCTTTTAGGCCCTGTATTTCTCTAAAGTGATGTCCTTGCTTGGCAATCGGTGTCCTGTGATTGTTTTTTAGTACACAGTATACATTAGCAATGCCAACAGATGCGAAGGGGGACCAGATACATTTCGTTACTATGGGTTGGAAAAATGGATTGTACATTTGGCTTCACATGTTTAACTTTTTTTAAAAAAGTTGCATGATTGAAAAAAATATGTATACAGTATCTGTAAAGCTGTTTTATCTGTTCTTGTTTCAAGCCATGTAAATTGGAAGAATTTTAAATCCACAGCCTTATCACGCATGGCCATCTTTACATACCGAAGAGCTGAACAATTTATACTTTTCTTTTGGGCTATCTTGTACTTTCATTTGAAAGCAGACACTCTCATATTGCATTCTTATGGAGGATTTTATATTAAAAGAAAAAGAAAAGAAAAAAGATGCTGCCCTGGATGAATATGCTTCCTTACTACACAGAGATTGGAAGCAAGTTTGTTTTGGAGCTCTGCCCCTTTCCAAATGAAGTCGAGACGCAGTGCTTACTCCACTTGGTGTTAGTAGATATTGCCTTGTGTATTCCATTTTAAATTGTAATCTAGTTTGTAAAAGAGATGGTGACGCATGTAAATAAAGCCTAATGGATCTCTACATTGCAGACTTGTCTTCGCTCTGGTTTGTTATATTGTAGGCATCTGAACGTGGGATCTGGAATAGGGATGAGCTCAAAGCAGAGAGTGGCTGGGGGAGGTGGGTGCCGGGGGGAGGAGCCTGATCCTGAGGCTACCGAAGGTGATGGGATCTTTGGCCTATACTGGCCTTGGTGGGCTCTGGACGTGGCCATGCAGAAGGATTTGAGTGGAAGCCCTGGGCGCTGGATCCACTGTGAGCATCAATGCGCCTGCGAGGTGCTCCAGGCTGAGAAGTGCCAGCCTTGAGAAGGGACACGGCTAGAGAAACCTTCCTATTAAAAATGTGGCAGGCCTATGCAAGTTCCCAAGCTGTTCAGGGATGTTTGTGATGACTAAGACTTTTCATGATAAACAGCATGAAACATGGAGTTAAAGGAAAAAAATAAACTGTCCCATCCCAGCATTCGTGCTCGGGGCAGAGTTGGTTTTATCCAAGGACTGTGTCCCAGGGCTGTTGGGTGGTGGATTCAGAGGGGTGCAAACAGGATCTTTTCCTTGTCTTGAGGTGAGCTTTCTTGAGGTGTGTTTTCTCCACCCTGAGCAGCATTTAGAAGCGGGATGGAGATGGCACGGCAGGAGCACAGCGCAGAACGGGTCAAGTGATGGCGCGTGAGATACAAAGGGGAGCAGATCGTCATGGGGGCCAGGTCCTTGCTACATCCCCGAAGCTACCAAGGGTGCCTGTCAGCACACCAGGCTGCCTGTGGGGAAGCCCCAGGGCTGGCAAACACTGTGGCTGCCCCTGCAACAGGGAGCAGGTCGGTCAGAGCAGGGGGACCTTGCACTGTGTGGGAAGCTGTTGTCCCCAGAGGCAGCTCTTCGGGTGAAAAAGGCAAGCAGCAGTCCAAGTATTTGTCCAGCTGGTCAAATAGCCCACATTCAGATTATTTGGTGCTGCTTAAAGTCACAAAGTTCACATGATTTGGGGGAAGGAGGGGTGCTGGGTGGCTGCTACAGCCCTGCTGCTGCAGGCCTGCTTGCTTTTCCCAGGAGAAAACCAACTCAATCACAAGTCAGTCAGTAGAAGAATTATATCCCTGTGGACTTGGTTGGGTTTCAAACTATAGCTGAAAAATGTCTGGAGTACTCGAAACCACTCATCTGGGATTTGGGATAAGGAAACCAGCAACCTGACTCAGCAGAAAGTTATATTGGCAGCTCTGGCCAAGGCACAGGAGAGCGTGCTAAGAAATACGAGAAATGTGGACAAAAGCTGTTCTCCTGCACTGATGGGAAGCCACAGATATGTATGTTTTTGGAGTCATTTTCTAAAAGTAAATGATAGTTTCAAGAAAGAGGAGCTTTTATATGCAGCAGGGAGGGGTTTCCGATGAGCCTAGCTAGGACTGCGGCTGCTGTGTTGTCCGTGCAAAACACATGGGAAGGTTATATCCAGAAATGCTGCAGTGTAAGGAGCAGCTTAGGGATATCACAGCCTTTGCTGCCTTGTTCAGTACAGCTAATGCAAGAGATATGTGGACTTTGTCTTAACTAGGTACAGTTTGAAATATAAGACATTGTCAAAAAATTGCCCTTTACTTGGCTGAATTGAGAGTTAGCGTTCCCAGCATGAGCTTATGTCCAGCAGCAATCGCACAGTTTTCCCCAATTGCTCACAAAACAGATCCGCCTTACGGATCTTATGAAGGATCTGTTAACAGTGCTCAGGCCGTTGGAGCGACAACCCCTGTCCTCCTCTTGCTACCTACCCCGACCGCAGTTTGGGACAGGTGACGCCAGTGTCTGGCCCTTG